ACAATGCTGCAGCAACTGGGAGGGGAACCTTGGGTAGTCACATCAAGTAGTTGTGCCATTACACATGCCCGTGGCATCGAACATTCAGAACAGGGGGGGGGGTCATTGCATTATACAAAGTGTGAATGAAGATGGGAAGCTCTCACTCGATGAGCATGCCCAAAGGAGAAACGTTGTTCTCTGCCGTCGGAACGGAAGTCTGCTCATGAAAGTGATGAGAAAAGGCTATGTGGAGGAAGTGACATGATCATAGAGAATGCCACTAGAGAAAATATCTCCGTGAAGAGTGGCCATTGCCCAAAGTGGAGTGTAAATGAAAGACACACACGTCAATGATAGAGACGACAATGACAACATGGTGGAGAAAATGGAGAGAGCTCACAGAGAGTTGATGCCCTGCAAGTGCACATGGTTTGGTTGTAGCTTTTTCAAAATAAGAGTATCACATACGCCACTACCCTTCATCCCACTCCGGTTACTAAATGATAATTAAGGGGTCTTCCCTTGTGGATGCAACTTAAAAGTGGTCTTCGTTTACCCCCTGCTGCAACGATCAGGGACGAAGAGAGATAGGCCCGACCTTTTCTTTCTCGACCTTTTTTTTGTCATAGTTGCAAGTTCATCCTCGACTTACAACGGGTCCTAAGTTTTTTTCCTCAATTGCAAGTCCACCATCGACTAGCAAGTGGGCTCGACCTTTTTTCTACATCAGTTGCAAGCCCACCGTAGACTTGCAACCGGTTCACCCTTTCTTTTTGCCTCGGTTGCAAGTCCACCCTCGAGTCGCAACTGAACCCGATTTTTTTGTTCCATATGCAAGTTCACCGTCAACTCGCAAATGGGCTCAAATCGGGCCCGACCCATTTTTTGTTTAGTTACAAAGTCACGCTCAACTTGCAACTAGGAAACCCCCCTTTTCTTGTCCTAGTTGAAAGTCCACCCTCAACATTCAACTGGGCCTGACCTTTTTTGCTAAGTTGCAAGCCCACCATCCACTCTCGGCTTAATGGTGAACAATTTTAAATGCACAATGAACATTTTCTAAATCCCTGGCAGCCATTAAATTCACAAGTTTTTTTAGTTTGACATACATTAATATTTGTAAGTTTCACAAAATTCTTTCAAATTTGCAAACATTTTATATTTCATGAACTTTTTAAAAATTTATGAATATTTTTCTAATCAATGAACATTTTTTAGTAGCACAAAATATGCTTTTAGTCGTGCACATAACATATGGCGTTTGGTGTACTTTTCTATTGGACATCAGTTTGTAATCTGCTATCAAAATCTAAATAAAACAACATACTCCCTCCGTCCCAAAATAAGTGTCTAGAGCTTAGTACAAATTTGTACTAGAGCTAATACAAAGTTGAGACACTTATTTTGGGACGAAGGGAGTATAACTTATTCTTTTGAGACAAAAACAACATACAACCGAGAAGAAGAAACAACGTACAACTATAAGAAAACAATATGACCCATGGCACTCATACGTTCGTGGTCGCTACTCACCTAGACGGAGGCCAGGGAGCATTTGGTTACTGGGTCTTTCCGCTGGGAGATGGTAGATCGGGATATCTTCAACCGGTTTGGATGGCGGTCATGTAATAGGATAGGCATTTAGTATCTCTATCTAGTTTTTGCCGGCCGGTTGTGGCGTCCTTTCTTGGCTAGTTGGTGTTTCTAGCCCTTTTTGGCTCTGTGTGAGCTTTCTGTGTTTTTTTATTACTTTTGGAGACCTTTGGAACCATGTCGGCACTACTTTATTTGGTTAATAAGATGGCCGTATACATCTCTCTGATGCAGAGGCCGGGGAATCTCCCCTTTTCCAAAAAAAAGAAAAAAAAAGAAAACAATATGACTAGTAGGGAGCTGGGCGAGAAGGACCATAGTAAGAACGTGAACAAAGGCCCGCCCAATTTGGTGAAAAGGTAAAAGAAAAAGGACCCCGGTAACACCTGAATGTTTCGGATTTGATCATGGCAGATCAAACATTTTTATTGCAGTTTTAGTGAAGCAAGGATCACAACTTTAGTTAGTAAGATCCGCCGGCTCACGAGCCGTTGGATTTGAAACAATCGGTCAGCCAAACGTCTTTATCTACTTCGCAACACATGACTTATTGCGGAAACATTTGTAACAAGGTTATGTTGCTTTTTTTCTTTGCAATAAGGGGCTAGTTGCAGAATTCCTTTTTGAAACAATGGATCAATTGCAAAAAGTTGGCACAAAGGGTTAGCTCCTTACCGTTGATTAAGAGTCCATCCGACAGACATATAGACGGCGGACGCTCACACAAATTCGATCTGTTCAAGGAAATCTTTCTCGGGACTGCTACGCGTTCGCCGGCTGATGTTTCTAAAAGATCCGTCGGCTCACGAGCCGTTATATTTGATACAATCGGTCAGCCAAACATCTTTCTCTACTTCGCGACAAAGGACTTGTTGCGGAAACATTTGTAACAAGTGTTATGTTGCATTTTTTTTCTTTGCAACACAGGTTGTAGTGTGAGTTTTTTTTTGCAACATGGGTTGTGTTGCAGAAAGAAATGTGCTCTCTAGTGTGAGCCGCAACAGTATCGTGAGTCATTGTATTTGATCCAATCCATCTGCCAAACGTCTTTCTCTACTTTGCAGCAAAGGTCTTTGCGCGGAAAACATTTGCAACATGAGTTATGTTGCGTTTTTTCTATGCAACATAGATTGTATTGCGGGATTTTTTTTTGCAACATGGGTGTTGCAGAAAATATTGCCCTCCCTAGTGCGAGCCGCAACAGTATCTAGCCGTTGGCCGGTTTGCAACAAGGGGCTAGTTGCAGAATCCCTTTCTGAAACAATGGACCGGTAGCAGAAAGTGGGCACGGTGGGGTTAGCTCCTCACCGTTGATTAAAATACCATCCGGCGGACATATAGATGGCGGACGCTCACACAAAATCGATCGGTTGAAGGGAATATTTTCCAATAAATTTGTCATCCTCATGTCACTTAAATTGCCATAAAAAATATATGATTTGCCATGATCAAATCCCAAACGTTTAGAATTAATCATTTCTAGAGAAAAAACACAAAAAACAATGGACATGGGACAACCATACAAGCGAAAGGTTGCTGGGAGGAGGAAAACGAAATCAAAAATAAGGATCACATCATTTTAGATGTCACGTAACTATGTCATATCTTTATTTTTAATGAAGCAGTTGGTGAATAGTCCGCGCGATTTATTTTCGCTGGTTTATTTTCGTCATTCTCCCACGCATGTTAACTCGCTACCCTCCTGCGAAAAAAATTGGTGCCAAAAAAAACCATCGGATCGAGCCCACAGCAGATCGTTCTCCGCCCCCAACCTGCCCTCCGCACGCCCGATCCACCCCGTCGCCCCCTCGGCGGCCGATCCATCCCTGTGCCTCGGCCGATCCAATCCTTCGCCCTCTCGTGCGCTAGGGTTCCTTGAGTCGCCGCCGCACCGGAGCTCCTCGCCCAGCCCCACCTCCTGCCGCTCCACCCACTGCTTCTCCCTCCGCTCGCTGCACTTGCCCTCTCCGCCGCGCCCGCCTTCCCCGATGGTCGCCCCCTTCCCCGTCGATCCCGGAGAATCGGCGCCTTGAGGTTGGGGAACTCGGCAGCCATGATCTGAAGGACGTAGGGAAGCCGCCCCCCCCTCGCCGGATACAACCTAGGTTATTGAGGTGCTACGGGGCTAGAAGCTCAACCAACGATAGCAGGACGTCCGACCGATCTGGGCCAGCGTGGAAGGAGAACTCAGCGGCGGCTCGTCCAGCTGTTCTGGGATATTTTGGTGAACTCTCCATAATGCTGCGCGTATAGGTGTGTACTATCCTGACCGCTCACTCCCCTGGGATCCGATAATAAGTTCACATAGAGTTCGGCCGGCGGTGGCAGCGCCGCCAATAGTCGTGCGATTAAGGCTGCACAATCAGCAGATTAGAAGACTGATTTAGCGCTAGGATCCATCGCCATTGGAGGGACTTGACTTCTTTTCATTCCTTGCGAGAACGGTTCTTGCCATGAACGACGGGGCTCTCTCTGTGGCCCTGGTCTAAAAGCTAAAATAGTGAACAAGATGTGTCTTGCCGTTTGCAGTATTGGGTACGTATCTTTTGCACTTGCTCCCTAAAGAAACAATCAGATAGATTAACTACAACCCAAAAGCAGCAGCCTGTTACTATTTTATATCATCTATTGATGATTTGTTTTTTCAGAATTGCATTGGCAAGTGATGAAAAGGTGTAATGTTCACGGATTTTTGTTGGGTGATCTGTTGGTCCGGTTTAATTTTAGCAGGCATCTGGGTATTGTTTATGAATTGATGGCGCACCTTGCTTAAATCCTACTAACAATCTTCTCAACACGTGTCATTGCTTTTTGTTAGATGCATTTAACACATTTAGGAAGGACGTTTCAAGGGCCTCTTTCTCGATCTGGAGCCCACTGTTAGTAGATTATGGCAGGCTGCTCAAAGTCAGTTTCCTCTTCTATCTTTCATCATTGCCTCATAGGTACTATTATGATTGTTGCATTTCAAAATTTTTGCAGATATGTCATGTTGTTGAAACTTTTTTGTATTTGCAATGATATTGGTGTTGGACCATTAGAGTATATATGCCCCGTTGAACGTGGGGGGGTTGGCGAAGGGCGTGTCTGCGGCCGACCTGGAGGTCGTGTTCGGCTCCATCGGCTGCGTCGCCGGCGTTGAGTTCGTGCGCACCAGCGGCTGTAGCTTCGCCTATATCGACTTCCACTGCCTCTCCCACGAGGTCATGACCAAGTTGTTCTCCACCGTAAGCATCCACCACCCCATCAACAATCTCCTTGTAACTTTGTTTCTACACTTCGGCAGCAATTAATAGTAGCAGATTAGGGTTTTGTTGATTCTCCACATAACCGTGTGCATTCTGTGGGTTGAATGGAGAATTTTGTGTTTGAGGTGAGTAGAGCTTTTACCAACTTAATAACAGAGGATGGTGCATGCAGCTGCTATGGGTTCTCATGGTTCCCCTGTCTCGGTTTATTGGAATGGCGATTCGAGAAGGAACATCATCTTGTGGATGGACCATAGGGCTCTTGACCAAGCCGAGCGAATTAATTCTCACAATTCACCGATATTGCAATTTAATGGTGGGAGTGTCTCCCCAGAAATGCAAGCTCCAAAGGTAACCGCTTTTTTCTCCATGCATATGATTCTCGTAAATTCCTGATTCATTATTTGTAAAAACCACTAATGATGTTGTTGGGCATCTGAACCATTGTGTTGATTGCCATCTTGTGAGTTATCACTTCACAATCCTAGAGGTTTGGCTTGAAAATCTCAGAATGTCAGAACTCCAGCATTTCAAAAGCTGAACAACACACTGTTCCTAAAAAGATGTTTCGTTTGCTTGCAGGATATGGATAAATAGTTTTGAATTATTTTGTAGTGAGAAGGTCGGTATACAAGGTTTGTTGTGTATTTTACAGTTATCTCCATTGATGGTATCGTATTAACTTACCTTTTATAGGTTTTATGGGTAAAGGTAAATCTGCAAAAATCTTGGTCTATGGTATATAGGTGAGTTTCAAATCACAACCTCTCTAAGCCTGTAATAAGCTATGAGTTGAATTTCTATCAAGTTTTGCTTTCATTGTTTTTTTCTAGGGCAACTGGTGACCAACTGGTGATTAGTCTGGCTTTAATTCATTAAAACGTGGTTTACCCCTGTTTTATTTGGGGACTAATTCATGAGCTCACGATTAGCCACGAGTGACCCCTGGTGTTCACCTAGAACATGTGAATAGCTGACCAAGTATTTTTAGGGCATCTGAGTATGCTGATATATGTTGTTCGAACTCAAAATTGTCCAGAGTTTTATCCTGGTTTTCACCCAAGGTTTTAACTTTCATTCGATCAACATTTTAAATGTATTGTATACTTCATCTTTTATCTGCTCTTATGACGAAGAAGTTCCTTGCTTCCCTGTTAAATATTATATAAATGCATGTGAACTATAGGGAGTTATTTTCTAACATTCGTACTAGAATAAACTATTTTCAGTTTTCAGGTTATGCCTTTCTTGCAATGGTTGCATCTGTGAAGTTGATGCTTAATTACTTCCTACATTTAGAAGATTGTAACTTTTGCTATACACACATGCATGGTGAGATGAAGCGTTGATGAGTGATATGCATTTTGCAGATCAGGTTATATTTCCTTGGTAGCATGGCAGCAGCACCCAATCAGACCACAACCTCGGCGGGTGTGCTCTGCAATCTTGGCCACCGTCGGCAGGTACGACCTCCGCCGCCACTGAAAGCTACCCCTCCTCATCACCATCAACGCCAGTGAGCTCTCCCTCTGCTCTCGCCGCTACCCAGTTCCATCCACTATCTTCCACAATATTGTTGCGACTTTGTAATGACTAGCCCAATTTTCTTTAATGCTGTTATGTATTTTTGTGAGTCGATGATTTTCTTTCAAATCTACAAATGGACACGTTTGTCTAACCATTATGTAAAAGGCTGGAATCCATAATATGTGAAATTCCGACACAGTTGCATGAAAAAGTGAGTATTGAGTAGGGATGTAATTCTCGCCGATTCAAATATCAGAATGTGTTCCAGAGACATAACAAAACCATCCTGAATCTTACGTTTTTAGCATGCTGAGATCTGCGCTACCGTATATACTTCTAAATTACATGGTAGAGATTTTGAATATCGGCACCTGATCTTTTATCTTATAATATATCAGATGTCCCTGGTCAGCATCAAGGAATTGTTTTGAGACTTGTATCCATTTTTCCCTGGTAAAATCGATGACCGTCCGTGTTGGTGACCTATTGATCTTTTAATTTCTATATTCGCAAAAAAAAGATCTTCTAATTTATAAAGATGTCTCTGACTTGTTCACATGCCAATAAATATAAGCTGCATCAAGTGAGCTTTCCTGTCAATAAGTAGCGACACTTGTAGAGGCGACTTGGATCAGGGAGCATATGGAGCGACACTTGCAGAGGCGATGTCAGCGGCTGTCGAGTGCTGACCCGCCCGTTGGGTACCTCTGAGAGTGGCACATGGTACTGAATCAACGCCAATTCCCTCGCCATGCCCCTTCCCTGGTAATGACCCAGGCTCCACTCATCTCTGCTCCACTAGATGCACTTTCCTCCCTTAGGCTTTCATTTTTTTAGAGCTGCACTTTCTCCGCCTCGTTAAGCAAGTGATATACAAAGTGGAGCAAGAATTAACACCATGGAAGAGGAGGAATACAACGTTTTGTGGTACGTGACATATCCGATGAAATGTAGTGCAGCCAGGTACTACGTATTTTAAATTTTGCATGAGGGCCGCCGCCCACATACCACGTCCCCGATCCTCGCGAGAGGTATCACTCCTATCCCCTCGCCGTCTCACCTTCCTCCTGCGCATTACTTTTTTTTGGCTCACTTGCAGTTGTTTTGGTTCATCATTGGTCTAAAAAAAGTACTACATTGTTACTGATGAGAAAACTTCTGTGATATTGTGAGGCGAAGTATTTAACTAGTAAGTGTCTGATGCCCTGATGTCTTACTTTAAATCCATGTTACACGCAGTAGTAGGACTTCATAATAGGATGGGAGCAACCTGCATCTTTGGAATGTACTGAACTAATTTGATGAAAAATAACTACGTACTTTTGAACTGAATACGCTACAGCAACTGTCGTCAGCATTGACTACGCCACTGTCAAATGCATGTTTGTTTATTCATAATGATTTCTTAATCCCTTTAGTTAGAAGAATCAAAAGCAGTTAAGCACCTAAGCTCGTAATTCTGCATTTTTCATTGTAGTCCCTTTTTTATCAGATTGCGCAATGTCAATGGTCTCTGTACTCTGAAGAGTCAAGAGTACATTGTTACTAACTAACAAGGCTCTGTTATGCACTTATGCTTCGAGGCGAAGAAGTATTTACCTATTGAGTTGTTGATCATTTATTTTGACTTAGACTCTACATGCAACCATTTCATACCATTTAGCTGCATTAACTTGGGCATAATATAGCATCTTCCGTTCAATTTTCTTTTCCTGTTTTTTGCGAGCTTTAAAACCTTGAGATACTCATCGGTGCATATCTGAAAATTCAGGTACTACACAAAGTGGAATTTGCGCCGGTGTCAAGAGAACAAGTACAGGTTCCTCATGTCATGCCTATAAGTTTCACTCCAAATAATAAAGTGCCCTCAAGGGTCGTACTAAAAAAAGAACTACATCAGCAAGTTGATTCAATAATCCATCCTCTGTTTTGCCCCTCGTTGGTTAGTTATTCAGTTATGGGCCGGGGGTGGGAGTGGGAGTATTGATGGCTGTTTGTTCTTCACAAAGTTTTGGGTGAAAGAGCAAATTGGCAGCAATTAGTGAGATCCTACTGGTGGTGGTTTGCGAGTACACGTGAATAGGAAATCAGATGAGATCAAATCTCATGATTCCATCTCGTCCCGGTCCTCGGCGGACGGGGTGTCAGGGTGAGTTGTTCGTTTGTTCGGCCCTCATTTCGTGGTGTTCATGAAATGTGCAACACATGTACCATGAAGGGGGTTATTTAGTTTCATTTTCTCGAAATATACCATACTCTCTCCATATCAAAATATATTCTAAAATATAAGGCATTTTTTATTGTTCATAAATCTCTCATAAAATATTTAGTCCATGGTTACAAATCATAATATACGAAAGTGAGTTTGAATATGGATATAAGAGTGTCTATTTTATGTACTTTAAATTATGCTTTATTTGACTAATTATAGGTCAAAGATTATTAACAGCGACTAACACAAATACTGGCATTGCACTACGTGCATATCAACATTTAAAAAATATTAAGTGCTAATGTACATTATTATGATTCTTAACAGAGGAATGAGTGTGAAGCTCAAGACCCCATTTAATGGAGCCGTCTATGATGCATGCGATGAGGTCTTATTATTGATGATGCCATGTACTACATTTTGTTTGCATAATCCATCACCTAGCATGTATTTGTTATAACCGAGCACCGCAACGAATCTGTTATTTACCTTAGGAGGGTAAGAAAAAACACAATCAATGATATTATACATAATTCTAGACATTGTTTTAGAGTATGTTCTGAAGTATATTTTTCTTTCAGTAAATGTTGGAAATGTCTATGTACTTTTTTCTCCCAATATGTTATGGTCATCTTCCTGCTATGCATATGAATTTCATGGCCAACTTAGCAGCTGGTGGTTGGTGATCCTTTCTACTTCCTCGCCGGCTCGATAAATCTCCCGGTTTCCTTCTCCTACCACTCTTCCTCCCTTGTGCTCTGTAACTTGGCCATTGATGTGGATGTTAGTAATTAGATGGTGATATTTGTTTTATAGAAATACTTATTTTTTTGCGGGTGTTTAGAAATACTTGTTAGTTGCACAGATGGATCCTGCAAGGAATAATTTTACAATGGAAATGCATATCTATTGAATTGATGACTAAACAAGTTTGCGGGCACATCTATGAAAATACAGGCAAATACAGACATAGATTTAAGGGTTCTCATTCATTTAAATCTCAATGTTGAGAGAAGCCGATCTCTGGATATGAGTATTTTCTTCCCTGTTTGTGTGATTGTTTAATTGAATGGATAACTGTGTCTCCTGAATATTGTTCCATGTAATTGTTTTAAATCTACCGAATTAGTTATCTAAATCAGTTGATATTTTGCAAAGCTTCAAGCTTTAGTTTTTGCACTTCATGACATCAATTGTTTGTGCAGATTCAAGATTTATTTCTGTACATAGCAGTGATTAGTGGATTACTGTCACACGCTCCTGTTGTCATCCATGTCTCCTCAGGTGCCTTAGGTTTGTGATGCGAAAGTTGTCTTACATATGTAAATTGTTCTGTTTTTCTTTCGCCAAAACATTAATAAGCCCATGATACATTTTGCTTCTTTTTTATCTGATGTCCATTTGTAGACTAAGTGCTTTATTTATGATAGTGAATTTCTGGCGTACATGTGAATATCTCATGTATATACAATCAGTACACTCACCTGAACGAGGATGGCGGCGAGCAGAGCGGGGTTGCGTCTTGTCCTTCTTGCGTTGAAGGTCCGGTGCACCCATGGGTGTGCCTTTGCTGGTTTCTGACTGTCACAAAGAAGTCGGAGCTGCGGACCGCGAGGCGACTGCGGCAACGATGACTCTATGAGGACAGTTTTCAGCAAGCGGTGCTCCCCGAATGTTGCGTGAATGTTGCGTTGAACTACGTCGTTGCGTGGCTTGCAACCTTCTCCTATGAAGCCCGTATGCAAAATTGAAACTGTCATTGTCCTAGGTGTTGTGCTCGACTATTCATTGTTGCTCTGTGGCTCCTTGCTTCCTCTCCACAGTTATATCGTTTTTTGTGATGTAATCTTGTTAGTAGTCGGGTCATCCACGCGTGCCACTTCTGAAGTTTGTAGTCTAGGTTAGATACATCCGTATGTAGACAAATCGAAGACAAGTAATATGGATAGGGGGGAGTATATTATTTGACTCAAGCACTCACAACCAACGCACTACACTCATGCACGTGAAAAACAATCGTATTTTGATCAATATCCCTATGTAAGTTTGTTGTTCCGAGGCAATCACGTATGAATTGAAGAGAGGTGGTGAATACTTGATCTTCATGAGGTCTTTTCCTCTAAAAAAATGATGTATTCAATTTTTTTTCCATTGCATTATGTGTTTTAGAGTTTTCTACTGACACCAGCTTCATGGCATTGTAAAAGAAGTATTGATTCAAGATAAACCGAACCTTTTCTATTTACAATCAACTTATTATTGAAGGTTGCATCGATGATGTTATTATTGCTAAAATTAAGATGTGCATTACAAGTCTAAGCCATTGTCAAGCTTTGTGTACCTTGTACTCCCTCCGTCCGAAAATACTTGTCATCAACATGGATAAAAGGAGATGTATCTAGAACTAAAATACGTCTAGATGCATCCCCTTTTATCCATTTTGATGACAAGTATTTCCGGACGAAGGGAGTACTATTTACTCATGGACGGTATATATCCGGTCATAATTCTTTGGTGGCGAGCGATACGGCTGGTTAAAGACATGAAGATTGCCGAGAAGGAAAGAAGTGGAATAGAGTTTCTATTTGTTGATGTATGATGGAGAACAGATGCCACCATGCTTATAATATTTATTGTTATTATTCTATGGCAATGCACAAGCATTCGACATGTGCCCGTAGCAACGCACAACATTCTACTAGTCTAGATGAGTTTTAGACACATCCAACAGATTAGTACAAAGTCACCCGCAAAAAAGAACAAAACAGAAAACAACAAAGTGTCGTGTTTCCAATCAAAATTTTGAGCATGTTAATTATAGTTTACTCGATGCTTCTCAGTGGATATGCTTGGTCTCGATCGAAGGTAAACGTCAAGGGAGGCTGCCAGCCTGCAGCCCCACTACTCCCGTACGTACGTCCGCTACACCCGATTCGCATGCAAAACAATCGACGCCCATTGTTCGTATCGCCCCAATTCGTTGGTTAACCGGGCATCGCATTCACAAAGCTGGAGCAACTACTGCCCGTCAGAAAAAAGCTGGAGCAACTACTGGGCACGGTGACTGGAGCCTAGCACGTAGGATAGTACATATGCTCCCACACGAACAACATCTCAAGCAAGAAAGCAATGGAAGCCACAAGGCTATCCTTGCTCTCTCTTCTTCCGTTCCTTCTCCTCGCGATCGCTGCCGTGGCAACCGGTGGCGAGCTCAGCACGTTCATCGTCCACGTGCAAGCAGAGGAGAACCGCGTGTTCGTCACCGCGGACGACCGGAAGGCGTGGTACCACTCATTCCTCCCCGACCATGGCCGGCTCGTGCACGCGTACCACCACGTCGCGAGCGGGTTCGCGGCCCGGCTGACGCGGCGGGAGCTCGAGGAGTTGTCCGCCATGCCCGGGTTCCTCAGCGCGACCCGTGCCCGGACCTACACGACGCTGACGACCCACACGCCCGAGTTCCTGGGGCTGAACGTG